TTTTTTTTTTGTTTTTGTTAATAAAGTAATAAATTGAATTAATTGAATAAAAATAATTGATTTTAGTTATTTATTTGATGAATTGTGAAGTTATATTAAGGTTTTGAAATTGATTTGAAGTTATAAAATGGAAAAGAAAGTTATTGAAAGGGAAAAAGTTGATTTTTTTCTATCATTTTGTTTTTTTGGAATGCTTCATTCTATCAAGTTACCAAATTAAGGTTTTGTGATTCTTTCTTTAATTTTTTGTTTTTGTGTTCATTTATGTTTTAATTTTTAATCATTTATTTGGAAGACGAAATTATTCAAGACTAATTTGAACAATACAACTTTCAATTGATAGTTTGGTTTCTTTCCTACCTTTTAAGCTAATTCTTGTTTGGCTGTGTGAGACAAAAATTAAATATCTGGTGTAAAATATATCTCAAATCTTCAAAGTTGAACAAACTGATACGAAACACTGAAATAATGATTTTAATCAATTAGCGCTGGAAAACAATGCGATTATAGATATTGATGGATAGCCAAGTCCTGACTTGATCTTTGATACTATTACATTTTATTCAAGTTAGTCAACATTTTGTGCACTACCAAGTAACATTTTAATAAGTAAGTATATTTCCATACTTGTTACTTGAACTCACAAATTACCAAAAACTACCTTTAAAATTATGAGAAAGATGATATTCTCAACATCCTTATATCATTTTGTCTCTAAATAATGTCTAGAGCTTCACCAAAAGCTGTTTAAAAATCAGTTAAAAAAACTTAATATTTGAAATTTTGTTTTCATTTACTCCTAAGTCATGGCATTAAAAAAGTTTAATCACTATCTTTATTAAAACAACCTATGCTTTGATTCAAAAAACAGGAAGTGGCTACTACTCAATAAAGGCCACATTAAGATAAAAAACAAAAACAGGAAGCCAAAAAAAATCAATTAATATAAACCTTCATAGTGGTTGATTATTTATTCATGAAAAGTTAATCTGCATTTTTATCTAAAAATTTAATTCCATTGATTTCTCATCAAGTTCCTTAGGAGCAGTTCTAAGAAGAATGTATACGAAAAATTAATAAAGTATACCAATTTAAAAATATGTGATTTAATGTAATGTATTTCTTCAAACTTGTTTGAAATCATGGTCAATTCATTTAATTAATCCTAGAAAATAATCTCCATGATTCATTTGATATTCCATTATGACTTGTTGTGAAAATGATAACTAGTAATTAAGAAAATATATTTAAGTAATGTTTAATTGTATTTGCCCTTCGTGGTCATTTCATATTTCCCAAATTTTGATTATTTTAAATCAATACTTCTTCTTGGTTATTTGATTATGCATACAATTAAAAATCCTTTGAATTTTCGATTTGAGTTTTTAATTGCCCTTATTTTTCATTACTTTTATAACTATCCGGTCCATTTAATTGATTATATAGCCAGACGTCGATTAAAATGAAACTCTAATAAAATTTGTGGCTCATGGTATTTTGCCAAATAATAATTAACTGATAATAATTACAACATTTGATAAAGTGCCCGGTATTAAGTGTTTTTGATTAATCTTTTGGTAGATGTAGTTATAACTCTTCTCTAAAGTCTGTTGCATTTATGGTGTTAAAAAATTTGTTAATTTGTGTTGTCATTTAAAAAATGGAGATGTCTGAAAATACAAAGCTAAGACGCACAAAAATTTCACGTCACGAAAACAATTATAAGAACACGTGATACTTAACATCAAAACAATTGAAATTTTTTCTCATATACAATAGTCATAAAAATTTATTAATATATTGAATCCATAAAATTGATGGTTCGTTCAATTGTTTTGTATTTGTATTGAATAAGTAAACTTCAAAAATAAATGTTGAATATTTACTTTTATGTTGGATATATGATTTTATGATGAACATCCAAATTACATGAAAGATCGTCTGAAGTCAAAACGGATTAATGATATCTTTTTCCCACCAAAAAGATATTGGATTAGGAAAAAGATATTATTAATCCGATTTTAACTACAGAAGATCTTAAAAGTTATAATGCAAAAGCAACGCTATTAACGACACTTACATTTGGAGGTCAAATTACTCAACTCAATTAGAAAGCATTTTTGATCTACCAACCTGGTATTTAATTCATTTTCATAATTTGAAAAAACAATCAAATCAATTATAATATCTAACTTACATATGTATATTTAAAATCCATTCTTTTGAATAGAGCTTTCTCCAACAATTTTTAAAAAAGTTGACTAAAATCTAAGTAAAAGTAAACCCTACAATCGTTGTATAGTCGTATGAAAATTTAAAAATAGTAAAATCTAAAGTTCTGGAGAATCCAGTAAAAAAGTATGAGACCTCTAAATTTAGATAAAAGTTGATGATGATAAATATACATTATTTCAAAACAACTACGGAACTACATTCATTCTCAATTTTTAAAATAAATACAAATTAAATTTTATATGTTACCTTTATGTAAAATAAAAAATTTTCTATTACTATACTTTTAAATTTTTTCATATTTCTCAATATTAATTTGTTTCAGTTGAAATAGTTTTAATTGATTGTTCATTATTATTAGTATTATCATTTTTATTATTATATTGATGATGATAATTTTTATTAGAATACCTACCATTTTTTCTACTATTATTATCATTATTTTTTGAATTTAATCTATTATCATTACCATTACCATTAGTATTATTACTATTATTAGTTGATGAATTATCATGATTTATTGGAGTTTCAACATGTAATCTATATTCAAAACTAACACCATAAACTCTTTCATTTGAACCTGAATCTAAAGTAGTTATACAATTTGAATTTGTATTTAAAATTTCATCACATTCTCTTATTATTCTAAGTATTGAATCACAAATTATTCTTCTTGCTTGAAATGAAGTTAATTTTTTATTTGTTGTAGTTGATGAACTATTTGTTGAAGATTTTATAAAATTTAAATTTGAATTCCAAATGGATATTATATCTTCATCTTTTCTTACACTTAATACAATTCCACAAATATCATTTAATAAAATTTTTTTAATTTCATTTGAATTTGATGGTATAAAATTTCCTGTAAGAATTTTTAAAACTAATCTTTCCCAAATTAATGATGATCTTTTTCTTAATTTTTCAATTGATTGATGAGATGATTGAAGTTCTAAATTAGGAGAACCAATTGAATTATTATTATTATTAAAGCTATGTGGTTCATTTTTTCTATTGAATCGAAATACCCATCTACCACCTTTTGAATTTAAAGGATCTTCCCAAACTGGATTTATACCAGTTTTAAAAATTAAAAATTCAGTACCTATACTTAATTTATATCCATTTTTAATAGTGCTAAACATGGTCCACATTTGTTCAATTGATGCAATATGAGATATTGTTAATTCATTTGTATGTTGGAAATGAAGTTGAGAAGTGGTTTGTAAATATGAATCCACCCCAGGTTGTTGTTGTTGTTGTTGTTGAAGTGACTGTTGTGATTGATTAGATTCTTCGTCAGTTGAAGGTTGTTGTGGTGATGGTTGTGATGGTGGAATTTGTTTTTTGGTTCTTGAATGATGCCAAATTGTCCAACAATAAGGTAATACATGTTCATTTTCACCTATTGTATCTAAAGCTTCTTGAGTTAATTTTAATACATCTAATTTGGGTAATTTTGCAATTTCTAATGAAGATATATTATGATTTATATGTGAAGTATTATTATTATTATTATTACTACTGTTGTTGTGATAGTTATTATTGTGATGATTACGATGATTATTATTATTATGATGATGAGAATCTCCATTTCTATGTTTTGATCTATGTGAATAATTAGAATTTTGATGATGTTGATTTTGTTGAGCTTGAGATTGAGATTGTTGTTGTGGAGATGAATTAAGAGTCGGTGAATCTGAACCTTGATTCATTATTCTATTGAATAATGATTCTGCTCTCTTCAAATTTTCAGACATCTTGTATTTTAAGGGTAAGTGTGATGATACTTTGATATATTTTGTTCTATTATTATCTTGTTGATGTTAATATGATGAAATTTTAATTTGAAAAATTAATGATTAAAATGATAAATTGTTAATATATAATGCAAATCTTACTAGAACTTAAATAACAAAATTAATAAATATTTGATTAAATAAATAGATGAATAATTCTAATTTAACGATAGTAGTAGTAGTAGTATATCTATGGTAATGAATATTGATGATATACTCCAAATTCTTTTTATAATTGCAAAAAAAAATTTACATTAGATTATAGTATATAGAATAATAATAAGATGGTCTAATAACAGAAGTGAAAAATTAATTTTGTTGCACTACCTTAAATAATAGATTGATAGAAATAGAAATATAGAAATATAGCATACAATGAACATCACTATCGCTATAACAACTTTCAATAGTGAATAGTTCGTTGTTGATGTTGCTGCTTTAGATGCTCATGTTGCTGTCGCCGACGAAAGATCAAGATCAAGAAAATGTTCAAAACATCGACCACATCAGCATTGAAAGCTTAAAATGAAGAGTTTGAGAGATTAAAACAATGATTTTAAACTACAAATCAATGAAAAAATAGTCGTATGAGTTTGAAAGTCAAATTTTTTTGGTCCTGATTGAAAGAAACAAGTCATGGTTGAGCCATTGAGATCAAATTATTTTGCTGTTCCTAATGAAAAATGAAGTAGATTCTTTCAGGTAATTATAAATTTTCATGACTGGTTTCACATTGAGGTTTGGAGATAGGTTAATAAATTCAAAAAATTAAGTCCCACTGTTTCAACTTTATTGAAAAAACAAGAAAGTCTTTAATTTTTTTTATTAAATGTTGGATGATGAAAGTGAATTTTTAAAGGAAAATACATTGAAGTTTGAGATAGTATTAAATGGGAAAGCCTAAATTGTTAATCGTTTTTTTAATTAAACTTGTTTTATGGAATTAATGATGATGGTTTTCGTTAATTTTTAATTTGAACATTCATAATAAAAGTTTTAATTTCATTCCTATTAATTAATCTAATATATCAAACAAGGTATATTATTCAGACAATCAAAACCATCAAATTTGAAAGAAAATTTTGAAAATCAAATGAAAAATATCAATTAATATTATTCAGAAGTAATACCAATTTTTTTAATACTGGAATTCATACCATAATTAAAATATCATCAATTTCACAATAATTAAAAAAATTAAAAAATTCAATTAATTTTTCAAATTTAAAAATTATTGAAATTATATAAATTCCTAAAATTTTTGAATTTATTAAATGATTTATAAAAGGATGTTGATTTTGACTCAAATTTAAATTTAAATTTGTTAAATTTTTAAATTGTTTTTGATTATTTGTTTCACTTGAAAAATTTGATAATGGTTTTATAATTCTTAAAAATTCTAAATATTTTCTAATATGATAGTTAATTAATTTAAAATTTTTTGAACCTAATTGATTTTTTAAAATTTCATGTCATTATCAATTCAGTTGAGTTAGTATTGTCTGTTAAATTTACTAGTTCAATTAGTGAATGATACTTACGATTTATAAATTATTTCAATATTTAATATATTTTTATATTTAAATAAATCATCTAATAAATTTAAAAGGATTTGAATTTCATGATATAATGATATTAATTTTTGTTTAGTGAAATTATTATTGGATGATTGAATTGAGTTTGAGTATATTGTAGTTGATGATGATTGAGTTGAGTAGGTTGTAGTTAGTGTTGAATTATTTAAATTTTTCATTTTTATGAGCTTGATCTCTAACTAATGAATTCTCGAATGTTTCTGAAATATAGTCCATTTAAATACTCTTGACATTAAGAATAACTAAATCTTTCGTTTTATCATCTTATGATTTGCCATTCATGAATTCAATGTTTTAGATTTTGATATTAAAATCTGAAACTTGTTGTATTTTAAAATTTTTCGCAGCCAAATTAATAATAAAGATTTACAGTGTTTCAAAAAAAAAAATTTATTACATACAAACAAACAATTTCATTCTTTATTAAACTCTTCAACTAAACCATATATCGTTAGAGAACTGAATTTCAAAGCTAACTATGCAATGAGAATAGTTATAGAATTGGGATCGTAATATCCTTAATATTTTTTTTTCATTTTGTTTATTAAACTATAAACTTATTGTTACATTCACCTAAAACCTAAGCTTTAACAACAGGAGTCGTAGAATCAGTATTACCAGAAGTACTTGAAGTTGCACCAGTACCAGTTGTAGAAGATTCTTGTTTTTCTTTTTTTTCTAATTCAGATTTTTTAATTTTTGCTAATCTAACAGCTTCATTATGAACATCCTTGGCATCATTTGCAAAAGATTTATAAAATTCATGAATTTTTAAACCTAAATTTGAATTAACAGCATCATCAAAATATTTTTGTAATCCAGATTTTTCAAAAAAATCTTGCCCCTTGGAAATTTGTTGATTTACAGTTGAATTTGGATCTTTTGAATGAACATATTTTGAATCTAATGATTCTATAAAATTTTGAAATTTTGTACTATAACCATTTTTTTTATCAAATTCTAAACCTTTATCAATTATTTGATCTGATAATACATAACCATCAGCTAATAATTGAGCTAATATAGCATATTTTGGTTTTTCTTCTTGATCAACATCATCATAAGTTTTATCACCAGTTGGTTTAACATCTTTTGTTGTAGAGCTAGTTGCTGAACCTAATTTTTCACCTGGTCCATCATCTTGTGGAGCTTTACCAACTTCACCATCAGTTATAGCTGGTACTTCATCAACTCTTATAAAAGTGTTATCTAATTCTGCATCATTTAATAATAAAGCAGTTGAAACAGCTTTTGGACTATTAAATAAAACTTCATATTTTCCTTTACCATTTTCATCTTTTCCTAATGGTATAAGATCTTTAACACTTCCACAAAATGAAAAAAATTCTATAATTTTTGAAGGTGGTACATTTGGAGTATTTGATACAATTACTGAACTCATTGTGTAAGGGTTGTTGTTGTTATGTTAACTTGAATTATTATTAGTTAGATAAGTATCAATTGAGTATAAAAACTGTGTAAATAATCAATTGAAATATAAAATTGATAAAAGTTACTTTAAACTGATATAAATATAAATTTATAAATTAAATTAAATATCCCTTAATTTTTTGTTGAATTAGAAATTAGGTCAGTCAATTTGTTTTATAATTTAATTAAAGATCTCATTCTTACTTACATTACTATACTACGTATTACCATATTAGTCTAGTTTATTTGACTTAATCTAGTAGTTCTTTGCTAAAATGTTATATGATCATAATACTAAAGTTTTGTGTAAAACTTCTCCATAATTCTATAAACAGCAATTTTAAATTGTAATATGTTAAATACTCAGCCAGGAGAAATTAATTAATTGAATGTGTAATGATGATCAGGTGTAATAATTTGATAGTTCCATGATCTTCTGTTAACATAACCATAGTCTCGTATTAGCCGTTTGTTTGTTGAATCAGTTCATCACATGTAATCTAACTAACTCACTAATTTATGTTCCAGATTTTTTTCAGTGATTTTACTTGTAATTTTAGCTTCAAAATCTAGTACGATGATTCAAACGAATTGCATTAAATCAGTCCAACAAGTATACAACAATAATGCGAGTCTGGTCCTAAGTTTATTTTTCTCTCGTTGGAAAAATTGTTTATAATTTGCTTCAAAATTAGAGAAAAAAAAGATAAATATAACTCAAAATATAACTCTACAATAATTCTACGAATCAATCTACTTTGGCATGTGAAACAAATAATTAACTGTAAGAGGACCAAGATTAATTAAGTTCTTTAAATTTTAAATCAAAAGAAATCAAAAGTTTTTATAGAGACAATCTCCAACAAACGAAAAATAGAGAATATTCAAGCTTTACATCATTTATACGTACGGTTAAATCATAATTAGGGATTATTATACGAAACAACTCAAACCACCAATTCAATGCCATGTTTCATAATAATCAGATCACAAATCTGATCAATTCTTAATACCAGCCAAGAATAGTTCATCATCTATAGGGGTTTGAAAAATATCATTGCTTTTATATAGCTATCTATCCTCATTACAATAATCATATATCACAAAAATAATCATTACTGGCAAGAAGTTAAAGTACATGAAATTTACAAATCCAATTGATTAAATGTTTCCGAAGAAATCAAAATACCATCAGATATGGAAAAAGAACTAATAGGATCAATATGAGTATATACCAAAAAGCATATAGATCTAAAAGATGATGTTTATAAAGAAAGATGTTGTTGAATTCAAGGATTCAAACAAATTAATACAAATTATAATCCATACAAAGTAAGCAGTCCAGTCACTGACTTTATCTCAGTTAGAGTAATTACATCAATTGAAGTTCAATACGATATGGATCTAGATTTTAAAGATGTCAAATCTGTTTCCCTAAATGCTAAGTTAGATGATGAAATCGTAAAACTAACAAAAGGATACACTACTGATAAGATTGTTTGTTGGTTATTGAAAATGGCCGTATATGGATTAAAACAGAGCGGATACATGTGGTATGGTACTATTAATCAAGTCTTCATAGAGTTAGGATTTCAAGAATGTGAAAAAAATAGTGGAATATATTTCAAATGTTCAGAAAAATCAAAGAGATATGTGGAATTTTATGTCGACCACTTATTATGTACATTTATCATCAACATCAACTTTTTAACAATTCATGAAAGATCTATAAGATCATCCAGGAATTAGTAACATTAAATCATCCAGGAATTAGTAACTAATGTCATGTCAAAGAGTACTTAGGTAACGAATTTATCGAAAAGAAAAGTAATCAATAGACTTGATATCAAAGCAAACTAAATTTGGTAAAAAGTTATCCAACAAATTTCATTTCAATAACAAAGAAAGTTAAAATTCCAAAGCAATCCCGAGACTAGTTAGTGTTAAAAAAATTATCTGAAACATATCAAGCATTCAATTATAGAAGTGAAATTTACTAGCGACGTAAAAGATACTGTTTATACTAAATCAAATAGTGATAATACTATAATTTAAATTTAAGAGAAGAATATGAAAATCTTAGAAAACTCGACTAAAAAGAATAAGTATATTAATGTAGAGTTTTATCTAGTAATTCCATTACCATTTGTTTTCTAAATTGCTTTATCTGACTCGCATTATAAGTTTGTGAAAGATTAGTAGCTATCTGCCTAATACAAGACATCATAAAACCACCTCAGTCATGGTCATTCTTTTGTTGTGGTATATCCATCTTATTTAATTGATAATTATTTGAATCTTGATCCAATACTTTAATCAAAGTTTCATTAGTTATACTATCTTGACCATATAATTTCTCTAATGATTCCAACCAAAAGTATTTTTTTTTCCTTGTATCGACATAAAGATATGAAATTGATTCATCTAAGCTAGCTATGAAAAACAATTTATAATCATAAATGTTAAGTCACAGCATTGGGCTTGTGTTTATGTCGATACAAAAATTAAAAAAATTCAAAAGGTTGAATCAATAGTAAATATATTATCATGCATTTCAAACGAAATTATTGTCTGTTTTTCAGATTTAATCATGAATATGCATGATATTATATTTATCATTAATTCATTTTCATAATTAAATCAGAATTACAAGCACTAAATTCGCTTGAAATAAGTCTGTTTTAAAGTTTGTAAGTAATTAAAGGAAACATACCTTCTACTTCCAAGTCTATAGTTTTTGTATGAGAAACTCTTTCTTGATTTCTTTCAAATTTTAAACATTTTAGAATGTTTATCATGTTCATCTGTGAACTCAGAAAATACACGTGTGAGTCTCAAAGAATTATCTTCTAATGGATTGGTGCATCTTGGCCATATTTTTTTTTTTCAATTTTTTATGTAATCCATTATTTTTCAATGAATCTTTCATGGTATTTTCTTTCAGAGTTGAAGGAGTTGATAGTGTTGTTGTGTTTATTCTATGATCATGTTGGTGATTCGGAATCCTTAAATTTAATTTTTTTGATTTTAGGTGATAATGAGTCATTGAATTTTCATTCCATGGCCATCAAGATTTATAGAATCTGCTTCCTTTGAGATCTTGATTTATTTTATGTTTTTTTTCTACATTAATTGACTTATGTGATTTCAGATTAAAATGTGTTGATGTTTTAGTATTTGGAACTAGATAAAGGCTATGAAACTCTTTTATTATATTTTCATATCTTGATTTGTCAGGTAGTATAGAAAAATTGAATAAGTTGAGTAATTGATCATAGAACGTACCTGGATGAACTGCCAGTTGGAGTTAGTCTGACATCTGATACAGTATTAATCAAAATTATCAGATGTGTAAGAATATTTAGACTACAACCAAAAAAAATAAAATTGAACTAATACGCGTCTATTATTAAATTATCAAGTAATATATCACTTTTTTTTAACAACCATTCATGTGAATACCACCATTGAACAATGATTAATCATCAATGTAACAATGTCTGAATCATCTTCACTATATACAGATATAATCAAAGATTATCAATTGTCATTGAAGGATGGTAACTGGATATCTGGAAATAAAAGTTTAAGAAATTATCTCAATTTGGTATATGATATATTTCTAATACATCCGCTTACATTTAAAGATATATCTAATTCATATCAAATACGTTGTACAAATTCTGAATGTGGTTTTAATTTGAATTATGACCCTTTCAGTGGTTTAAAAATTAATTTTCAACACAACCATGAAGTATATATTAATTCAAAAAAAGAAATAGCTTTAAAAACACTTTCATTACATGTTATTCATATGGGCTCGAATAAAATCGAATTTACCAATCTTTGTGAAGAATGGTTAGGACCAGAATATGAGAGTCTGAAAGATTTAATTAAAAAAATCATGAGAGAATGTATGGTTTTCCAATCAAATATTGATAAATTAAATACTAGATTTGATAAACTTGAAGATTTATGTCAATGTTATGAAGATACTTATTTTAAATTTTTTGAAGAAGTAGTATCAGAAGATCTATATATATTACCTATACAAAAGACATGTATGATTAATAAAAAATTTTATCAAAGTTTGATTATATATCAAATGTTAGAAGAAAAACCAAGAATTTGTGGATTTATCATAATGAATAATATCAACCAAATTAAATCAATTTTGGAATCTCAAAATCTTTTAAAGAAAAAATTTTCAATTGAATTAAATCCAGATTTAATAAATTTATTCAACGACAACGAATTAAATTTCAATATTAGTAAAGAATTCATAAAATCTTTATTAAATAAATTGGATTTGAGGTATGAAAATCTTAATGATATTAAAGAAGATAGTTTACCAGATAAATTTAAATTTTTACATCACATAATTAATGATTATTCATTAAAAGATGTAATTCATCCCCCAATTATTGCTTCAATAAGGGTCTTTCTATACAGTTCTAGGAATAATATTATTACAAACGTCAAAAAAATTAAGGATTTATATGATCATCAAGATAATATTGAGGGTAGTAACCTATCAGAAAGCTCATTTGTGGAATTATTGTCACAATTTGATTTAATTTCTGAAATTCAGCAAGAAAAATTGAGGTTATTGTATGAAAAGCAAGAAATCTCACGGATTTGCAAAAATTTGTTAGAATGTGAAAAATTAGGAGCAAATCAATTAACTCGTGACATCTTAAAGATTTTAGAACCAGTTCAAGCTATATTAGAACAAGAAGAAGAAGAAGATGTTTGAAATCTTCCTTTGATAGGTGAAGCTAATGATTTAATTTGTAAAAATTTGTTATAGCCTACTTATATAAACTAATAAATTTCGAATCAAATGATTTACACTATTGTTGTAATTCAAATTAACGAATCAAAGTAAACTCTAATTGATAAAATGATAGGTTATGAGGTAACCTAAGACTCAACAACCTAAAATTCAGCTATATACTAGACAAGTAAGATTGTACTATTCATATATGACAACGTTTGTTTTGACTAAAGAATATAACATCGCTAAATTTTTGAATACTTACTAGTAACTTAAGCATTACTAGCTCAATCTGTTATATCAAGTATATAGTATCTGGATAAAATTAAAAAATCTTTTATCCAGCTACTTATACAACATTTTGGATAAAAGTCAGACGTAATTTATCCAGTAAGTACTACTGAATTACGCTAACATTTTGGAAAAGACTAAAAAATAATTCATCCAGTAATACAATATTACGCTAACATTCTGGATGAAATATGTTTCTATTTCATCCAGTAAAACAAATTTACACTCATCAATCATCATTATGTACAATTAGAAGCTCAAAAAGTTATGAGTTTTCCAATCTAATTAAACTTCATCGTACCCTCTGAACAGTTTGTGAGACGCAAAACAAGAGTCAAGTACTGTCAAGTACTAAACTAACAAATTTTAGTTAAAATTCAAACTTCTATAATAAATCCCAGATATACATAACTATTAACACTTTTACATATTCTAATTTTCTTTGATGCACTTTTACTTTTTATTTCAAGACTCCTATAATAAAGTTTGACCTAAAGCACATCTTCCAATAGCACAAGCAGCACTAACAGTATCTAAAACATGTTCTTCAGTTTCTGCCAACATTGGATTAGTTTCAACAATATCTAAACTTAATAATAAACCAGAATTGGCAATTTCTTCAGCAATAAATAAACCTTCTCTTAAACTTAAACCACCTTCAACTCTTGTCCCAGTTGCTGGTACAAAAGAAGGATCTATAGCATCAACATCATAACTTAAATGAATTGGATCTTTTCTTTCAGGATTTACTTTATCTAATGCCATATCTATAACTTTTCCAATTCCATATTTATCTATATGATACATTGTAAAAGCTGCTATATTATTTTCTCTCAAGATTTTTTTTTCACCTTCATCAACATCTCTTAATCCAATATAAACTAATTTATTAGCTTTAAGGATTTGAGGAACCCATGAAAATTCAGGTGGATAACTATCAGAATCTAAACCTAATAAAAAACTTAATGGACAACCATGTAAATTCCCCGAAGGTGTTGTTTTTGGAGTGTTTATATCTGCATGAGCATCAACCCATAAAACACATGTATTTGAATTATATTTTAAACTTGCTCCAACTGTAGCAGTACCAATTGAATGATCACCACCTAAAACTAATGGTAATTTACCTTCCTCCAATGTTTTTAAACTTGTTTCATAAATTAATTTACAACAATCACTTACAATTTTAGAATTTTTAACATTAAATTTATCTTTAGTATCAGATTTATTAATTTCAAAATTTGAATTTTTTAAAGGAGTTGATATGGAAGTTAACCAACCTAAATTTTTAATTTGATTTTCAAAACCTGCATTTATTATATATTCTGGTCCTAATTCTACTCCTCCTTTTGGTTGACCACCTGAAAATGGTGCTAATATTATATTTGTTTTTTTATTTGGATGAAATTTATAATCTATTGATGACATATTCTATATATGATGTATGTTTGTGTAATTTGATAAGGAAATGTTCTCTATGATATTATTATAAGATGAATAGTTACTTCTATAAAATATAGAATGAAGTAGATGTAATTGATAAATGAAGAAGAAGAAGTAAGAATGTAATATCTATAAGAATTGATCTTATATTTATATATTTATATATTTATATACTAGTTGATGATCTAGTATTTCTTAGATATTTCTGATAAAAGAGTATCTACTGTATACGTGACAATTTTATATCTTTAAAAAGTTATTAAAAGCGAAATTCTCTCTTCATCTCGGATTAAATATCATTACACACATTTTTATGCCTTAATCTCTTACAGGACAGTACTACTTAATAAGTCGATGAACATATGAATAAATCTCGTCCTAAAAATTAATTCTTGTACAAACCGTTAAATGACAGATCAAGCGAATAATTAAACCAAATTTCAGTTTTTAATTGCCTTTAACAAACAAAATTAAACCGAACAAATTCAAACTCTACACCAAAATAATACCGACGTTTCACTTTACGTGATCTATAAAATACTGAATTGTAATAGAAGGAGGGGTATATTTTTGTGTATTAAAATATACTTAGACTTTAGATATTACGTACGTAGGCTATTCAATCAAAAAATCAAGAATCCATTGTTGAATTTATCCATACCAACAAAGCTAAATCAGTCACACTTCCAAGTCTAATTCTTTTTAACAAATTGTTTACCACTCGAAATATTCAAAGTGAATCTCTTATTTTTTTTCAAGTTGTTTATTATTGTCAACAATTCCAACATATATAGCCATACCAGTAAATAAATAAAATAAATTTAAAGAAAATGTTTGAATTAAAGATTGAGCTAATTCATTCCAATTAATTATCCCATTTTTATATAAATTATATTGATTTATTGAATTAACTATTTTAAATATTGGAAATTTTATTAAACATATTGTATATATTAACCAAATTAAAATTTTACCAAATTTATTAATAGTTAGATTATACATAGATTTTGATATCTGTCTTGATGTTATAAACTTATCTATTATAAATAAGGATGATATTGTTACTAATACTATTGATTCTGTTTTCATATTTTCATTGAGAGTGATTTAATTGTATGTGTGTTCATGATGATGTTTGGTGAATTACTAGTCTAGTAAAAAAGTGTTGATAATGAAATATTTTTATCTGGTGTTAATTGCCATTTACATTTAAAAACTATTGTAGATTCTCTGTTCCATCTATAACCTTTTTATTAAAAGTAACTAATACCAATCATTTCAAAGATCCAATGTCAAGACCAATTCAAGAAAGTGGAGAAAAATGATTTATACTTCAAACAGATCAATTTTTCAAAAAGTATGACTTGTTATATTTAAAAAATTGTTGAAATGTTTCAGATTCTTTTCTTAGCCTAAATAAAAACGCGTGTTTTAGAGGTAGATTAACGTAATATTAAGTGTAGCTAGGCTGACTTAAAACTAACTCTCGACCCATCTATACAGGTCAGACCGCCTTCTCCACCGTAGTAAATTAATACGTTGTAGCGTGGGCTGTATTAATTGTAATTTAATCCCCACGTTTATATTTATATAATATTATTATTATTGTGTACAGTACGGTATAATAATAGTAAAACACCATACATTTTATTTACAACCACTAATAAAAATATTTTTTTACAACCAATTTATTATTATATAGATCTATATATTTACTCAACAACTACTTCAATTCAACCAATATTCTTAAATTGTTGGATTGAACTACCTCAGTTTTCACAGTCTACAATTTCAACTGAATCAAATCACTAAGATAGAGAAAAAAAGAAAGTTTCATAGATTTAAGACATCGTATTTAATAGATCTCGTGCATAATTATACTTAGATAAGAAGAATAGATTTGATTATTCTATTGAATTATCAACAACAACTCATCCAACCATCCATCCACCATATCATTCACGTACTTATATCAAGAGAAACAGGGAACTAACCATTCCAACCTAGACCAACTAATCTCACTACTCCCAAACTTTTAATCACCTATCATGAAGTTTGGGAAAACTTATTTAACTCATCAAATTCCAGAATGGTCTATTTATTATATGAATTATAAACATTTAAAAAAAATTATAAAATCAATAGATAGTATAAAAAATTCAGATATTGAATTTGATGAAAATAAATATCCAGAAATAATATCGGAAACTTTAAGTTCATTTTTTTTTGAAATTGATAGAAATATTGAAGATGTTGATGAATTTTTTAATAATAAATTTAAAGAATATAAAAGAAGATTAAATAAAATTATTTCTGTATTAAATTTTAAAGATAATTTAATAAATTATAAAATTGAAAGTAAAGAAGAATTAGATGAAATTATAAGTATATTAATAGAATTAAGAATTTTATTTAGAAATTTAAAATGGTTTGGTGAATTAAATCATAAGGGATTTATAAAAATTTTAAAAAAATTAGATAAAAAGCTAACTTCTATATTAAATGAAGGACAAGTTAATAAACTGGAATTATCAAATAATAATAAAGAAGCTTATTTGTCAACAAGAATTGATGCATTACCTTTTGCAAATGAAACTGAATTATCAAATAATTTAGATATTATTCATAAAATTTTATTACAATTAGGTACATTAGGATTTAATAATAATGAAGAAATTAAATTAGAATCTTTGAATTTAAACACTAATCTAGAATCTTTTCAACAAATCTTGGAAGAAGATAATGTTGAAGAATTATCAAAAGAGCTACTTAAAAATAAAAATGATAAATTTAATATTTCTTTATTAAATAAAGCAGCATTAAATAACTCAACAAAATGTATTGATTTAATTTGGGAAAATTTAAATAATCTTTATGATAATAAAGATATAAATGGTAGAAATTTTTTTCATCAAAATATTATAAGTCTTGGTAAAAAACAATTTATAAAAGAAGAACAATTAACTCCTGGTGATTCCCCCAATTGGTTAATTGGTAGTACTAATGGTAGTGATAATAATAATATAAATAATACAAGTGGTTTACTTTATATATTAAATAAATTAGATGATAAAGATAAGAATTTAATTATATCAAAAGATCATTATAATAGAACTCCATTACATTATTCAGCACAATATGGATTAGTTCAAGTAACAAATATTTTATTGGATTTTTATACAAAATGGAAATTAATAGATAAAACAATTTCAATAGATAACATCGACGAATGGGGTGATCAAGAAAGTTTAACTCCTTTACATTTATCAATTATTGGTAAACATCCAAAAACAACAGAAATTTTAATTAAATTTAATAGTGCAAATACATTAACATGTCCAGATTTATTATTATTATCAGTAAAATTAAATTCAAGTAGAATTTTAAATTCTCTTATTAATGATGGTAAAATTGATATAAATTATACTAATATAAAACATAGAAATGAAACTGCTTTATATATTGCAACAAAATTAAATTTATATGATGTTGTTGAATTTTTATTAGAATCAAATTCAAATACAGAAATTGGTGAAAAAATTTTTGGTTGGACTCCTATTTTTATAGCAGCATGTGAAGGATATAAATCTATAGTTCAATTATTAATTGATTATGATGCAAATCATGATATTGTTGATGATTCAGGCTGGTTACCAATGGAACATGCATGTTTAAGAGGTCATTTAGAAGTTGCTGATTTATTAAGACCAAAAAATGAAAATTTATTATTATATGATACTTATCATCCTGAAAAAAATTTACCAAGAATTCCAAGTGAAGCTGCAAGTCCTTTATTACAAGCTACAACACATTCAAAAGATGATTTAGATTTTAATAATAGTATTGATAAATTACCTGAATCTCATAAACATGCAGTAAATGAATTTTATAAACAATTAAAAAATAATAATTCTTCAAATAATGTTTCAAGAAGTGTTTCACCAAAGAGAAGAAAAAAATATAAACCAATTAAATCTTTTGGTCATAGATATTTAGGAGAAGATGAAAAATTAATTTTAATTACTTTGGGGACAACTGATTTAAGAGATGATAATGTCCCAGTTGAATTAAATAAAATTTCATTAGCTAAATCTTTTGCTACAGAATTAGATACTGCATTATCATTATCAATTACATGTCGTCATAAATTAACAAATCAACCAGTTGAACCTTCGGTGGTTGTTGATTTACCATTAGAAGATTATCATGGAAGTGCAACTGATCCAATTACTTTTAAATTAAATAATAATTTACAAGTTGAAGATATTATTATAACATTTGATTTAATACCAACTTATCAAGTTAATAAAAAAATCTTAGGTAGAGCTATTGCTTTATTAAAAGATGCTTATACAAAAGTTGGACCCAATTTAAGATCTTTGAATAATAATATAACTATTCCTATAATAGAATCAACAAATTTAGATATATTAGGATTAATTAGATTTGAATATTTACAAGTATTACCATTTAAACATCATGCAATGAATATAGCAAGATCAGATACTTATTGGAAACAATTAGTTTCAACAAGAGTTATTGGTCATAGAGGTTTAGGTAAAAATGAAAGTGGTAGACAATCATTACAATTAGGTGAAAATACTGTTGAATCATTTATTGCAGCTGCTTCATTAGGTGCATCATATGTTGAATTTGATGTTCAATTAACAAAAGATTTAATACCTGTTGTTTATCATGATTTTACAGTTGCTGAACTGGGTGTTGATATACCAATGCATTTATTAACTTTAGAACAATTCTTGGGATTAAATAAAACAAGAGAAAAAACAAATCATTCAATGGATGATGAAATATTAATTAGATCAAAACCAAGAGCTAAAAGTTCATTTCAATTACAAAATGGTTTAAATCATCACACACATCATCATAATGAAGATTTTATTGATAAAGAATTTGAAAGTCAAATTAATGAAAGAATGAAATTAACCAAGACATGGAAAAATAAAGGTTATAAAGGAAATGCAAGAGGTACATCCATAGCATCAAATTTTGTAACTCTCAAAGATTTATTTAAAAAATTACCAAAAAATGTTGGTTTTAATATTGAATTAAAATATCCAATGTTAGATGAAGCAGAACAAGAAAGTATGGGAGAAATTTCAATTGATTTAAATCTTTATTTAGATACTATTTTAAAGCTTATATATGATGAAAATTTAAATAATCGTCATATTGTTTTTTCATCTTTCCATCCTGATGTTTGCTTGTTGTTAAGTTTAAAACAACCAACTATGCCCATATTATTTTTAACTGAAGCTGGAACTGCAAAAATGGCAGATATAAGAGCATCATCATTACAAAATGCTATTAGATTTGCTAAAAAATGGAATTTATTAGGTATTGTATCTGCAGCAAAAACATTAGTTAAAACTCCAAGATTAGCTCAAGTTATAAAATCAAGTGGTTTAGTTTGTGTTACTTATGGAGTTGAAAATAATGAACCTGAATTAGCTAAAATTCAAATGAGAGCTGGTGTTGATGCTGTTATTGTTGATAGTGTTTTAGCTGTTAGAGAAGGGTTAAGAGAACATAATAATACTGTTAAAGAATTTGAAGATTCAAGTAACAGTGAATAGAAAAATTTTGATGAAAATTGTTTGATGAATAAACTTAGATATAGAAGGTTAGGTTAGCATACAATTTAAACACACTAGAAATGTCTTTACTTATGAGTTAAGAGTAGTAGATTGTCTTCTTTCATTGTATTCATTGTGTTTGATCTTATTGTATTGACTCTATTTAATTTTTTTTTTTTTTTTTTTTTTTTTTTAAACACAGTATT